TCACCATACTTCCCAACACATTAACGCTGCCTTAAGTTGTATTTTATGTGCTGTGAAAAAGGACCATTGCCTGTTTTTTTTATGTTTCGGCAGTGTTATTGACAAACACCATGGAGTTTGTATTTATACCTGCCAACTTGTTACAGCATGGCATAACCGTGTAGACTAGTCTGAATTCTGAAAAATGTGGCTCTGCAAGAGTTAACGCATTGTTGAGTTAAAGTTAGCATGTACTTTTTTATATATAGAAAGCATTTGAGATTGCTAAATCCATTCCTCCTGTCTGCCAAGCTGTAACTGTCAAGCTTATCCTTTCAAAGTCAGAAAAACTAAATGGGCACCATAAAAAAACAGAACTCATATTTTTACTGGATAATTTTCACTAAACCTAATACATGGCAATACAGTGCACACTTAATTCTACGTAATTTGATGTTGCAGAACCGAATTAATTGTCAATGCTCAGGCATATTTATTGGTTTGTGCATCCGAAGTGCTGCAACATTCAAAATGGCTGCAGAAAGAGTGAGCGTCACCATTCTCAGCATGTGTTTCTTGTGTTCTGTGTGTTAGTGGTAGTCGCTAATTCATCAACGGGCCGTTTCCAATGTTCCTCCAGGTGTCATCATACATCACCCCTAGCCCAGGCCTCTTTGCCAGGGCATGTCCGCATTGAGTGCGAGCTGTGAGCAGTACCAGGTCTAGCGTCGGGATCCCCTTGAATTAGGAAAGTAATCTTCTTGGTTCTTTCGGTAAAGTCACGTAAAATGGAAATAATAAAATAATAAAAAGAAAACATAATAAAATCATTCTCACGACGTTTCGGCCACAATGCAAGCAGCCTTCCTCAGGTGAACAACAGGTCTGTCAGAAAGACAGCGTCTGAATGAACACCACCAGGCTTGGCATAATGCACGGGCATAAGTAGTACTAATCACATACCTGCATTTCCCTTTACCGAAAGAACCAAGAAGATGAATCCCTGCAGTCACGAAAGCTTTAAATCGAAATTTAGGAAAGTAAGTTATATAAAAAAAAAAGTATGGAAACCCCTCAGATATGCTTGTAGTTTTTTTTCTCCATAATGGTGAAAACACTGTCAGCATTCTTCAAATCATATAAGCTGTATGAATCTCAAAGCAAAAACCCACTGCAAAAAATAAAAATGCATTTTCTCCCAACAAACCAGATAGGAAAAACTGTTAAATGGCAGTAAACAAGAGTTTTGACATTTCAAAAAGCTACACATTCCAGGGCAAAACTTAGAGAGCCACAGAACAGAATTGCAATTGAACGTATTCATACAATCTCCCCCACAGATAAATGGCAACAAGTTGCATGGCACAAGTCCTCGAATGCAAGTTTCACAAGCAAAACATCAAGGCTACAAACAATAACTCAAAGGTACCTCAAGCGTGGTGAGCTCAAGAGATAAAGATGCTGGTAAAAGCAGACCTCTGCACTTTCAAGTCGTATGGATGCTGTCAACTGGGATTGCCATGCCACAACTGCATTAGGCAGTCTTTCATCTTTCACTACATTTAAAACGAGTGAGCAGATTTTCGAGGCCTCTAAATATAACCAAGTTGTCAGTATACGCTTCGCAGGTGAGGACAAATATACCAAGGAGAGCTCAGCACAAACATGGAAATCAAAGTATCAGCAGTTATGGTAATTGTACTTCAGCTTTCAGAGGTGTGGAAGACCTGCCATTTGTGGTGATTGCTACATTGGAGAAACGAAACGTCATGTTTCTCATCGTGTCCGCGAGCACAAGTCAGATCTGAAACACGGCAGAACTGATTCTTCGGCCGTTGCCGATCATTGCTACAACTCGGTGGGCTCTCATGAAATTGTCTTTTCCGAGACCAAGGTTCTCTGCAAACCTCCTGGCTACCATCAAAGGTTTGTACACGAAGCCATACAAATATACAAACACAGACATAATTTCAACCGTGATGATGGGTACAAACTTAGTAATCATTGGAAAGATGTTATCAACCACGCAAAAAAGACTTTTTTGGACCATCTTATCTGACAGGCACTATTTTACTTTACTTTACCGAGTGTTAACATCCCAAGTGTTTAACAGTACTCTCTTCATTGTTCAGCCAGCACTGGTATAAACATGAGCATTTTCGTTCTTTTCTATCATGTGTATCAACAGGTGCTTGTACACACACATGTCCACGTACACTTGCACCCCACACTCTCTTTTGGCCTCCCCTCCCCCTCTCTGTCCAATGCGTTGGCGTGTGCAGCAGTAGTTGCTTGCGCACAACCACGTCCACGCCGCCGCTCTCGTGTACCACGTCGTGCATTCTTTTGGCCCCGTCCCCCTCCCCCTCCCGATGCGTTCTACGTGGCACTTCGTGCCGTCTTTGAGCCCCGCCCCCCTCCCTCCCGATACGTTCCATTCATTGGCTACCACATACTGATGAGCTCCCCCCCCCTCTCCTCCCCCCTCAACTTACTTTTAAGGGATTATATCTTGAATCATTGCCTCACTTGATGCAGCAAATCTGGCTGTGACGGTCCCACCTGATGACGGAGACTTGTGTTGCCTCCGAAACGTCGTGATTTTTATTTTACTTTTATTAATTTTAATGTTTTACCTACGTGACTTTACCGAAAAAACCTAAGAATATAAATACCTCCTTTAACATCAGCAGGAGATCAACCTTTAAAGAAAAACTTCAGCCATGTATAAGTAATTTAGGGTGGTCTTTGACTTACACAATTTGTGGGATCCATTCGTAAGTCGAACGGTTCATAAGTCGGGAACATAGTAATCTATATTTAAATGCCCACACACAAAAACTCCCAACGCGAAGCTCCCTCAGCTGGACAAGATAGTGCCGTAGTTCAATTTGCAAGTGAGAGTTCGCGTTTTAAGTCAATGTAAAAACATATCTTTCATGGAAGCTGTGAGAGGATCAAAACCCTCACTGATGGCCGTGTATGAACGCCCTGAAGAAGGATTTCTGGAGATGGTGCACTTAACTTTGAGACTGGAATCTGACATCCTGGCACAGCCTGTGTACAAAGAGTTTATCAAAGAAAATTAAACGATATCCTGCGTTCCTGACTGCCGGTTTAGGTTCCTCTGACGGATGTTTGGTGGCCAGAACCTTTTGGAAGCAGAACGAACAGAAGATGCAAAGGTGCAAGAGAATGAATGAAACACTCAAGCGAGAATACACAGGACTTCGTGTACACTGTTAGTGGTGGCAATCTCTGGAGCCCTTGCTTCGTTATTTTTTTTAGAACATTCGGATTCTTGGAGGCATGGGTTAAAAAGAAAAACGCGTGGGTCTAGAACAGCAGAACAGCTGATGGCTGGCACATTTGTGCCATGACGAATGAGAACACACAAGCTTAACCTACAGGGCTTGTGGGGAATTGTTATCCAACAGCCGCTCTTGTATGTTGAGAACGCGAACAACTACAACATGAGATCCTGCGGCGTAGTCGTGTACGGATGGAACTCACAACTTCCAACGGGTACCACACGAGGTGTTGGTGCGCACTGCAAGTGTGGGAAGGCCCCGTGCACTGCACAGCAGCTTAGAAATGCAGAGGCACCAGTGACATTCAGAATAATGATAAGGTTTTGCTTGAAATTGTGAAATTCTATCACTGTCTTGTTACCTCCAGTTTACATGTGCACCAAGACAATTTTTTGTCCATATATGGTTAAGAATATTTAGCTACAATGCAGTTATTTGATTGAAGAAAATTGATATATTTTTCTCTTCGTGCAAAACGCTGTTAAAATGTGTTTCGTAATGTAGGTTACATCGTTTTATGAGAAAGTGTTGTCATTCTTGTTAATGCTTTGTAGCTAACTTTTAACTTTTCATAACACTGACTGAACTTATATTTGTTACATTTTTCTGGTCAAGGGTGTGCAACACAAATAATGTTTTTGTTTTTAGAAGACTTATGGGATTAATGGACGTCACAGTAATTCTGCTACTGGTCAAAGCTCTATACCAAAATAATTATATATCGTATAGCCTTTAAATGTATTTGCATAAGTAATGTTTTTGTAACAAAACGATAGTTACAAGTTATGCAATAGAGAAGATGGCAAATCTATACTTTTAACCATATTTCAAGATTCAACTATTAAATAATGTCCTTAAATAAAGGTATGTATTATATTGAAGCACTATGTTGTGGCATTGTAGTTCATTCAGCTTGGAAAAAAATAAAAGTTCTAGATGATAATCTATTTAACTGCATCTTCATTGAGGCCTAATCATCAAATTTATAATAAAATAGCTCTGAACAAATCACATGGCATCATCGTCTAGGAAACAATGGTGATGCCCCTTTTTGGTGTCCGTTTTATTTGGGCGCAGTTTGAAGGTCAAACCTCTGCCCTGGGATGTTTCATAGACGCGAGAAACAGATTCAGCAGAGAGAAGAGAAAATAAATACTCGAAAAAACGATGACAAAAATCCATGCGCGAATTCTGACATCAAATTTAACTAGTCGAGTGTAAATTTTTATTTAAAGCTTTTGTGACTGCAGGGATTGATATTCTTGGTTCTTTCGGTAAAGTCACGTAGAAGGGAAATAATAAAATAATCCAAATATGATGATGATTGCTTGTGTTGCAGTCGAAACGTCGTGAGCATTTTTATTGGTTTATACTTGTATTATTTTATTATTTCCCTTCTACGTGACTTTACCGAAAGAACCAAGAATAGTCGAGTGTAATTACTCATTTAATTGCCTTCCTATTGAGAGTACTGGTTCGTTTAGCTCCGTAAATTAATATTTGGATTATTTCCCTATACGAGCCAGGCATCATCGTCGTCCGTTCAGTGAGCGCGCTCCCTTGAGGCATGCAGCCGCAGCGGAGCCACGTTGGCAGGTGCGTTCAGCTACGCTCAGATGTGTTCAGCCAGGTACTGAACAATAACAAACACACCCTGGCGCCTCCACAGGTCAGTACAGGTGTCGCGGGGAGACATTCCGGGGCCAAAGCAGCCCGCGTCACGATACCTCCCACACGTCTATTGACATCGCTGCCAAGCCTACATCCCGAGCCCGGATAGGCAGCGTATCCAGCCAGCAATCTCGCACACACACACACGCACTCCACACCCAACACCATCGCACACATCCCAGTCGTGCCGAGCCCACGCACACACACGCGCGCGCACACACTTAGATTATTTCGCTCGCTGGCCGCGTCGTTCACTTTGGTGGGGCCCCAACGTGGCCGCGCCACCGCGTGGGTGACACCCAGCACGGAGCATGAGAGACAGCTGAGAGAGAGAGAGACACAGGGACAGACACCAAGCCACCAAGGATGGGAGTTCACGAGGCCGAGCTCTTGCTACTGCTGATTTTCACCTTCCCAGGTGAGTTGCGAGCAGGGCTTTGACTTCAGCGACCCCGCCGGAAAATGTTTTCCGCACACGGCGCACACTTCTCACGACGACTCTGTGGCTTCAATAGACGCGCGACACCGATTCTCGACTGCAGCCTTACCAGCGAGCCGCGGGTACATTTTCAGCGAGAAGTGAAGTTCTGTTTGTGAGTATTGGTGGTGATGGTGGTCAGGATCAAGTTACAGCCAAAGGGGGTTCATTCCATCAGCCCCCCACCCTAACTCTAACTTCCTTGCCTGTGTTCATTCTCCGCTGTCTACCTGTGGCCCATGTTGAATCTCGATGATGTTCACGAGAGGAGGATGAGAAGGAGGTTGTTATCGCAGTGAGGATCAGGTCCTGGGGCAGGGAGGGTTGGGGCTTGACCACACTTTAACACGGTGCGGGTTTGGTTAAATAGTTCTCGGCCTTCACCAACCCACATTGTCAGCTGCGGATGTGAGTGTCAAACGTAGTAGCCCTGCAGCAACACCGATGACAGCCCTGTTTGTGCATGGTCCCTCCGCTATGCAGGCTGCCACCAGCTTAGCTTCCGATATCGCGGGAGCATTCAGGGTGATTTTGTAATAGGCAGTGTTGGTTATGGGATGTAGGCATGTTGAACTTGATTCGCAATTGCCGGCTTACACTACTGGAGGGTGGGTCGGGAGCAAGCACCCATAATTACGAGTGGTGTAAGGATTTGTCGATTGATTCATCACACGTGTAAGGATCCACGTTTTCGAATCGTACTGCATGCAATGGTTCCACGAGTCTCTTGCAAGTCACCAGTGGCTTCGACTTTCTTTTAAATCGATTCTAGGAGTAAAGCATGACTATGAATCTCGATAATTCGTAGAAATGGTGGTGGGGCGATGGAAATTGCGAAACTCCACAAACTCTCTATTTATAAATCTAGTAATAGTGATTCATTTTGCAAAAGCAGACTTTGGAGGGTGGAGGGGGCGGTTTCGATTGTGCAACTGCTTTGAGAACCGACAGATAGAAGGAAGCGATGGCGAGCCGATGTGTCATCAACATTATCAGACACGATGACCCCTAACGCGTCTCCAAATGCTTCAGACACTAGCCGTCTGACGCGAGCTACATGTAAGGGCCACAACTGCTATTCATGACGGGGGGACACACTCCCACCCCTTCTCCATGTAATGAATTAACATGGATGATTAACCGCACCCGCAGCACCTGTGTTTCCACGTCTCGCTGAAGAGCACGAGTGTAAAGTTTGCACGTACAGTGGGGTCTGATTCACAATGGCCAATGTTGCATTTTCTCCAATGTTTGGAGAATAAGTGACGATGCTCTCCCGTTACCGACATTGGCGAGGCCATCTCAGAAGGCGGACGTTGCCGTTTGTGTCCGCATTGTCAAGATGTGAATCTTCCCCAGGCTGAAATGTTAAAAAGGTAAAGGTGCAGCACTGCAATTGCCGGCTTACACCAATGCTGGCGGAAGGGCCTCCGCTAGAGGGTGCTCTTGAGATCCCTTCTCCTGGGATATTTTGGCCTCGGCTTGCACACTGGCCAGAAGTCTTGGTCATCACGGCAGCGACCCTTACTATGCAACGTAGAGATAGTTTACTGAGTTGAGCACAATCAAATGTATAAAGCTGCTAACCATGTGACCGTCAGGGACTCATGGTCCAAATTCCGCAATATCAAATCTGAGTGATTTAACTCGACCTGGATGGATCACTGCTGGGGGCCAACTGATGATATTTGCCTTTGTGTCATCATATCTCAATCCCATGTCAAATTAGTCTGCTGCCAGATGTGGCACAATGGTGTCGTGTGATTGGCATGGGCCCACTTCGTAGACTGGCACCTGGGCCCTGTCTGGCGTGTGAACCCCAGCGCAGTTTCACTGCCTACACACTTTATAGCTACGACACTCGGTGTAGTCGACTGTTGATCGCATGCTGTTTTGAGAATCACTCCCTTCGCTTGCGTTTATTAATGCACAAGTGCATTTGGGTCCCTTCGTGATTCACAACCTTTTCCAACAAAGCGAAAATTAAGTACTCTTTGCAATATTCTAACGGCAAAGGAAGCATTATTGGCAGTAAAACATTACCAACGTTAATGTAATAGTGTACTTGCGTGACCTTTATTTGAAATTTGCATAATGGGAATATACAAATACTTTCACTTCCTTGTCACGAAATCTCTTGAGCAACGCTTAGGTTTCTAACCTAAACTTGTGCTAACATACATGGGCAGCAGAACAATCGACTCACTTGAATTAGTGCCGCACTTAATCTATCAGTCAACTCCAAAATCGATTTGCAAGTCTGCCGATAATTGACAATGTTTTATGAGCAGCATGAATTCCTGGAGTTAACTGCCAATTAAATGTGTGGTACAGTATATTGACATAGCCTGACCCACACAAATACAAATATGCACATCTATATGTGTGTAAAATATATTTTTCACAATGTCCGTTAACTCTGGCCGCAGAAATGTATACAGCTGGCTGATAATTTGCAGAGGGCTCTAATTTGGGCAGTACATTTTTATTAAATGTCTTTTATGTGAAAGTTACATTGGTTAATTAAAAATCATAGCAGCTTTTTTACACTGGCGCTTACAGGAAAGGTAACACATTGCAGCAATATTTGTGTACTGTGTACGTCTGTGTTATATGAACAATTATAAGGTGTATTCAACATTAAAGTCTGCCACGTGTCCCACCAGGCTGGGCATGGCAAGATTACATATCCAGCCTTGCACATATTCCACACACAGAGCCGAGGGAAGGCCACAGGCGCAATAGAGCCGAAGTAGTGGCACATTTTATATTTGGCAAAAGGGCACATGTAAACCGGTTTCATCTTCATTGAGACTCGCGTCTATGTGCCTGTAAAATGTTTACTGTGCTTGTAAAACCTGTGCCCACTGAAGGCGAGCCTGTGTTCAACAAGCGGCCGCCCAGCGGTTTACCGAGTTCGTTTCCAGCTCCCGGCCACCACCAACACCAGTGACGATTATGCGAACCGGTCATGCCCCCCCCTAGGTTGACTCAGCCCTCAAATGAGTACCTGGTGCGGTGTGTAGTTAACATCGCCACTCGGGAAACAAAAGTGGCCGGGCGTGGTTGCTGGCCACCCACCCTCTCGTGTCAGTGCCGGATTAAGCTAGTGTGGGGCCTGTAGCATATGCTATAAAAGGGCCCTAAAAAACACACCTAAATATTAAAACACAAACTTTTTACTTGCATAGTAAAGTAATTGTTTATTTTTTTAGTTGCTATACAGCCAGATAATACGACAAATCGCTAACCTTAAACACCCAGTCGTTCACAAAAGTTGAAGGCAGGATAGTACTATAGTAATAGAGCAAGTGCAGAATCACTGAATCGGCATGAAAGCGTTTCGCGCGGGGCTCTTCAAAGTGAGGGGCCCGTAGCTACTACATATATACTACATACGTAGCTACTACATGTGTAGTAGCTACTTGTGCTACTGGGATAATCCGGCACTGAGTCGTGTGCCGTACCGGCCTTCATAGGTGCTCCTCGCTAACGGCACTTGCCCCAAAGTTCACTCTCCGCATAGCAGCAAATCACTTGTTACGGTGACAACCTACACAACAGCTCTCAACTGGTCATCAGAGAAGATCTGGAGTTTGGTGCCCAGACAGGAGAGAGTGTGTGTGTGAGAGAGAGTTTCACGAGTACAGCAATAGGTGAATGAAGAACCCACACTAATTTTACAATTCAGCTGTGGGTGAACAAAAAGCGTACAGTAGACCTAACCCGACATTAAACGCAACACGTACGCATATATAGCGTACGTGTAGGAGCACGCTGCACTGTCATTCAAAATAGAAACCCAACATAACGTGAATACGTTGCATGGCACCGTGCCCGCGGGCAGGCGAGCCCAGTGGAGTGGGTGAGCCCCGAGAGAAGTGTGGCGAAGTTTGCCGGCTGGCATGATTACAGCCCACGCAGGAGGCTGGCTCGCTGCCTAGGCTGCGTGTCTTCGTGCCTGTGCTCAGGCGTGACATCCCCGTCGGTTGACACGAAAGCACAGCGCCGTAACCTTCCCCCCCACCCCCTTTCCATTCAACCTCGCGTGGTGCAACAGAGGGTTGGGCAACAATAGCCTTTGTACCCCCCTCCGCCCCCAACCAACTTAGTCAACATAAATTGTATCGTGGTAATTCTCTGGTAATGGGTGCGACTGTGGGTCATCCAGAGCTGACCGTAACAACTTATACCGACAAAGCAATGCCCCGAGCCGCAAATGATAAAATATTAAAAAAAAAAAACACGCTTTAATGAAATGTACTGTCCGAGCTGCCCATCCCCCTGCCCCCAACGCCCCTCCCCTCCTTCCACATCCCCCGTCCCCCGGCGTGGCTCCCCGAAGCTTTTCGTGACGTACAGCCAACGTCAGTTGAGCGTGGACAATTAGACCCGGAAAAAATATTGTTTAAAAATATACATTTACATTTTTTATTGATAGAATATAGTATTGTCATCAGTATGACATATCTATACCAAGTTTGCAGTCGATACGACATTGGGAAGACGGTTGAAATTGAGTTACAAGATTTGAGTTAAATAAAAAAAGCGTGTAAAATGTTTACACATATATATATTTTATTTTAATAGTATAATATAGTCGTGCCATCAGTATGACATAAGTATACCAAGTTTGCAGTCGAGAGCACATTGGAAAGTTGGTAAAAATTGAGTTACAAGATTTCTTTTTTGAGGATACGACAACAGACGGAGTGAGTTAAATAAAAGCGTGTAATAATAAAAAGGGGGGCAATCGCAGCGGGGATGCACTACTTCCCGACGCGGGTTTGCCTGCCGCCTTGAACGCCGTGAATGTGGAAATTGTGATCATCCCTCTGCCTCTTGCATCGGCCGTACGAAAGGGGAGTTGTGTGAACAGCGCTTGCCGCGTTACTTTTAGAATCCCCAATTATAGTCTGCGGACAATGCAATGCACTGCACACTGTAGATTGTTTGAACGTTACGTTGAGGTTGTGGGTATGGAACCGCTGTGTACTGTGTCCTGGAATAGCTGCCGCCCTGCACCTCATTCGTTATTGTTTGGAGTTGGATCGCGGGAGTCAAAAGTTGTGTCGTGTACCCCCCTCCTCCACCCGACAGACCCAACTTTCTAAAGTGGTAACGTGAACAAATGCGCCAATGCAGGGGCGGTTTCTTCATTAGGGCGATTGGGCGACGCACCACCAATGTCATTCAACCACAGAGTCACGCTAGCCGTCACTGTGCCTCTGGATATAGTCCAATCAGCGTCATGCTACGTTCTGTGGAGTACCGCCTCTTTTTGGGCGATTTCCCTCCAGCTGAGAATCGCCCCGAGTGGTCCCATAGACTTACATTCAAAGATGTTTTTTTTCGAACGGCGGCGTTGCAATGCATTCTCTATGGCTTCCGGGAGGGCTCGCCCTAACGTGCTTACGTCATCATACGTGCTTACGTCATCATACGTAAGCACGTTTCATCCAACAATATAATTTGTCGCCACCTAGTGGAATCTTTAATAAAATAAACTTGAGTGGTTTGTTTTAATAGTGAGTATAGAAACAAACAAGATGTATTGTAAGATTCACTTTATTTTTCATTAATATTAAAGAAGTGAAGTTGCCTTTACATGCTTAAGCTGTTAATTTATCCATTACATGGGTGGACCTTATCCTTATCAATCATCCAGACATTTGCCCCCCCTGAGAGATTTTGCAGGAGCCGCCACTGCGCCAATGTAATGCTGCTTCAGCACCACCGGTGTGTTGGAGAGCAATCCACAACATTTTACAATTGGGTGGAAATTGGTTACGAATCATATGTTAGTCGTGAAAGCCCACGTGTTAAATGTAGCTGCTACTTGTTTGCATAATGAGCTTATTCCAGGGATATTAAAAACCACCGTGCTCAGAGTTTGCAGGACTTGTATCGGTTCACTTTCACAAATCAACCAATGAGCGTACTGTGTTCACTTTACAGGTTTGATTTTTGCCAGTCAGAGTTAATTCCCGCCTCAAACCAATCCGAGATGGAAGCTCAACTCCTGTTTACAGCGATGGCAAACTGTGGTGGAAATTCCACCTTTCCAAAGTAAAAAAAGGGTCAAAACAATTCATCCTTGAATCAAATCACGACTGCAAAATTTTCACAATTCGTCTAATCGCGTAGGGGGTGGCAGGCAGTGAGTGAATCAGTTCTTGCCTAATTTGTAGGTGATGCAAACGATAGCATGTATACTGGGTATGACTTTATCAATGATTTGCCTATCTTGCCTTAAGTAATACTCTACAACCCTTTGTTAATCAGCTGCTGGATGAAGCATTTTCTATCTAGTGCTCGTCATATCGCTCGCCGCTGATATTAGCCAAGGCTGGGATTCGAACTCAGTTCGAGAAGTTCATAGCGTAGTGTGCTTACCTCTGCACCGCCACTTCTGCCGTATACTATAACAGTGATTTCACTACTTCCAAATGTAGCGCACAAAGTATGAAAATAAAATGTAAGTAATCGGATTTTTATATTGTTCAGTAGGCGTTATTATCTCTAGAACTATTATTAAGCGCTGTTAAAGCCTTTTATGAATCCGCGAAACATCGCAAAATAATAATCTCTTGTGATGGGCATGCGCGGGTCACGTTGATCATTTATTCAGAACGCGACTCTATAAATATGGAGCCATCTGGTTGGGATGGGGCCATCATGTTCACGTCCAAAATATGGAAATAAATCATGCTCTTACTTCTTTTCCTCATAAATGTCCAATCTTTACTACATCCTGGCTCTTGTTAAGAGTGATAAAATTCGCACAGTCCTTTGTACAACCATTGCTTGAATGAAGGCCTTCCCACACCGTGTCAGTCATGAGGTTTGTTGGATCCGTACTATTTTATTTTTATTATTATTTATATTATTTATTTTTATTTTTACCATACGTGACTTTACCGATAAAACCTAAGAGTATGGATCCGTACCTGGCCACGCTGGTCAGTTGTGGGGACCAGTTCGAATATCGCTCGCCAGTGATGTTAGCCGTGGCCAGAAACTCAGGTCACTGGGTATATAGTGTGGTGTGCTTATCACTGCACCACCGCTCCCTACCACCACCAACCTTTTAAATTATGGAGGCGTGAACGCTTGCTCATCCTCCATAAATCAGATTGACTTCGTCATTTTGCATCACATCGTATGCTGAACCTACACGTCGAGGTCACCATTGTGATTTGTAAGATTGTTTTGGTTTCCTCTCATTCCATAGGGATTCTCATGAAAGGATGAAAGGTAATATCTTTTGCATGTTTTTTTAAATAATACTTAACCTTGTATCTTCACTTGGGGCAGAGTGGAGGCACTGTAGTCATTAGTTCATTGGGATATGAACTCAGCGACCTGATTTATATTCCCGGCAACGGTTAACATCAGTGGTGAGTGGCATCTGAACTGGTCATGACCACCCCCCCCTCCCCCGGGTTAATTGAATTTAAGGTCATTGACAAATGCATTTCGTCAGATTCCAAAAAGTCAACATAAACGTTATTACATTGTATGCGTGATCTTGAGATGATATTTGTTTAAGAGTTGCCTTCGCACTATAATTTTCAAAGTGATTGCTATGGGTATAAAACCATAAAAGCAAATGTCATTGTAGTCTCTGAAATTAAATAACGATTGAAGATTTTATGAGTTGATGTCACTCTGTAACTTTTGCTTTAAAGACGTTTGTTGTGGCACGAGAATAGATGTTCTGTTACAAAGCATTTACGTGAACCGAGTCTCCCTTGAACCAAGTGGAAAATTCCACGTATGGCGTTCATGCAAATTGTTTGCCGGTCTTAGTGTTATAGCGCAGAGCATGAGAAACTAAACAATAAGCAGATCAAGACATCTGCTTCACATATCTGTCCCTGTGCATATAAAACACAAGCCACCCGGCCTTCTGGGAGGTGTATCATTCCAGTAGCGTTGGTTCAAACTCTGGACCGGTTTTGATGTTCGGTATCTCATCCGCAAAGTCAGGCTCGCCTGAGCAAGGCATTAGCCGTAGTGCTCGCCTAATGCTACATTATCCCGTGCAAGCGAGACAAGTATGCGTCTGTAGTCTGTACATTGCCTGAAGCCTCCCGGTCTCTTTACCGGTCACGCAAAATGGAACGCAACGACAGTTGCCTTCCCACAGAACAGGACCGAACCACATTCAAAATTGCGCAGGAGATACAGTTACACTTTTATCTTGCAATGTAATGTACCAGCCCTTTATGCATCCACTGCTGAATCAAGTTCAGGTGAGTGGGTTCATAATGCCCTCTGTTCATGGGAGCTATTTGGCTCTACTTCCCCATGTTGGTCAGTGTTGGTGGTAAAGCACGTGTGATTAATATCTTCTTTCAATTCAGGCACGCTATCTGCGCCACACCTATCCAGCTTTTACAAATGTTTAACCTTTTGTTGGCTTCACAGGTGTTTGAAATTGTTTGCCATGTGAATTGTTTGTGACCACGCTTCCGAGAAGTGGTGTAGCACAACCACTCCGTGTCGGCTGCACCTCTTAAGCGCATGTCAATTCAACTGTGTATCACTCATAAAGACAACGATCTCGCTTATAAACTTTAACAGACGGATGGGGCAAATGCTCTTAGCGAGCACTTATGAAGGCCGGCACGGCACACGAGGGGGTGGGTGGCCAGCACCACCTCTGCCCGCCTTTGTCTTCCCAGTGCTGATGTTTTGCACAATGCACCAGGTACTCAAGCAAGGCTGAGTCAACCTCGTGCAGGCCCAGGATCGGTTCGCCACTGTTATTTTGGCGTGAGTGGGAATACAACTTGGGTGGCTGGGTTCGTGGCGCAGTGTGCTAACTATTGCACCGCCGATCTCTACACCGCTCTTTCTCTTTCACTCACCTAGCACTCGACTCCCACGGCGGTGAGGTTTAGCCGGGGTGGCTATCCTGCGCTTGGGGGGCAAGGGTTTGCAGATCACCGACTGAGCTGCGCGGTGGCCAGGGGGTGGCAGTACAACGAGTGTGTTTGTAAACCCATCTGTACAGATTCTTGAGTGTTAGTTCCTTGTATGAATGGGCTTTTCTCTGGTCGATAGTTTTTTTTTTCTTTCCCATGTGCAAAACACACCTTAAGACAGAATCGGAAAACATCGAAAAGCAGGGACCTCTTGAAAAATCGACTTGAGATTTGTTGAGGCTTTCCTGGGTAAATAAATGACATTATTAATGTACTATTGATGCTCATCTATTGTGTATGATAGTTTCCACATAATCTAAATATGAATGCATCTGGGTTATGCGTAAAACCTTAAAAATGCCACACTTATTACAATGCATCATTTTAAATTGTGTATGGAAACACAATACACCCCGTATTTATGAATGTTAACTCATGTTCTAATCTTAACCCTTAGCACTCCTAAAACACACTCACACGTAAGCCTAATGATTTAAAACGAAATTGCACGCACGCAGACCTCAGTTTCCTAGTTTTGGTGGCTCGCCATGTCAAGGTGTCTTCCGGCATGTCGTGCCGCTGCTGCTGCCACTTTGTGCCAAAAAGGGGCCTTTGAAAAACGGCCAATTGGTGTTGCACGTATATGTTGTCGTATGCACGCCCTTCAACGCCCACACTCGTCTGTGTGCCGTGTCACTGAGACGAGGGCGTCTCGTCGCACACCGCCGCGTTGCTGCACAGATATAGACGGATTTGGGACATGCTGTGATACTTGGAATTGGGCGTTTAATGTGATGATTTTTTTTCTTTTTTTTCCGTGACCGGCAAACGCGCGTGGGCGTTTGACCGACAGCAAAGCCACAGACGTGTTGAGGAACTAGCAAGTTAAGGACAAAAAAAGAGTCCAATTCCAAAAAACGACCTGCGCTGACTGACCTTCAGCCACTCGAATCGCCACTGCGGTGACATCAGCTGCACGGGGCGTGCTCTGCCCTGAGCCCTAGGCTGCTGCTGCTGTGCATGCACTCAAGACGATGGGGTTCGGCATCTTGTGCAAAGTCATTTTGTCGGCTCTCCTGTGCCTCTGCTTTTGCCCTGGAGGTAAGAGAGCCCCCCCTCCCGCTGCCCCCTGGAGGTAAGAGAGCCCCCCCTCCCCCCTGGAGGTAAGAGAGGCCCCCCTCCCCGACGGGTCTGACGTGATAATTGTTGGGTTTGCGATGAACTTATCTCTCCTGGAGCGGCCCTGCCCGGCCTGGTAATTGGCGCCACTTGCCCGGCCTGTTCTGAGCCACGATAGACATTTAGAGAGGTGGAGTGACTGTATGCCCTCACGGTCTGCAACCAGACAGCATTTGCTGCAGTTTTTTTAATGTACCCACAAACCTGCCCTTTTTCTTTACTTGACACACCGTATATATAAAAACTAAATCGGAAGTAGCACCTTGAGATTCTATTTCGTACTCTTTTTAGCAGAGGTGTGGACTCGAGTCATGTGACTTGGACTCGAGTCAGACTCGAGTCATGAATTTGATGACTTCAGACTCGACTTGGACTTGCATAACAATGACTTTGTCCCACCTCTGCTTTTTAGTGAGTAGCACAGAGCTGGATTGTCCTTGGGTTATGGTTTCCCTACATTGAAAACTTAACGTTGTCGTTTATGGCGGTAGATAGAAGACTTTGACACTCGTGGAGACTCTTGAGTTGGGTGCTTTATTGCATGGCAACGGGCACGGTGACTGACAGTAATCAGTTGGGCCTCTGATCAAGCAGTTGAACTTTGAAAGCACCCACGGCGATCTCTCTCAGACGCATTTACGATTTGTGCGGTTGCGTCGTTCGACCTCTACGCGAACAAGCAGCGCGCGGAGCGAAACGAACGGACATCTCGTCAGAGAGGGCTGCACGGCACAGCCCCGCGGACCAACCTGTTCTGTGGTTGGGGTCGGTTTCCAAGTTAATTGCTGCAACATTTGGGAGCGCACAACGTAGGGCGGCGATGGTAGCGATTCAGCATGTGTTACGCCCGGTCAGGGCCGCTGAATAAAAAAATGGACTGTGTATCAGGCAGAGGGCTTGCGGTAATAATAACAATAATGTCAATTAATGACCCGTGAAAGCGTCACTTCTGCACTTAAAGTCATTTCCCAGAGGGTCCTGTTAAATGTTTTGGGCCAATTGAAGTGCTGTAACGAGCATTTGGCTTTGCGTGGGAAGAAACCAGAGTACAGTAAGTATAGAAATTCCAGCTTGCATTCACTTACACACTCCTGCTCTATCAACAGACATGGGCAACTTCGATATTCGGGAAGTGAAAACACTCACATGGCGAGCACCACGCGGCACAGTTGACGACGCGAGCCATTCAAATTGATAACATCCCTGCAATATAGTCGTGGCGGGTGCCACAATTCACTCCGGAGCTGTTTCGCTCGAGCACACGGCTGCGATTGCCTGGGATTTTGTAGACTTGTTAAAAAAAAAATCTGTACTTTCAACCCCAGGTTTTCTGTGTGTGCGGCTCGAGAGCGCTGCTCAGCGTGACTGTGAGCTTCCTCTCGCCCTCTTGGCCCGTGAAGGTTCGTCTTGGCGGTGTAGAATATTGCCACGATGCATCTCGGACAGAAAAAAAAGTGTCATTAATTTGCTCAAACTCGGCTGCAACACGGCAACTGTTGCGGACAAACAGAAGAGGATATTATCAGCTGCGCTGGTCGGAACAGTGCCCCGGTAGCAGATGCGCTGTCACTCACCGGCAGCCCATTGTAAAACCTTCCCACGACTGTGCAATATGATATAGATTCTTAAGCCCACGGTGCATGCATTGCATTGCACGAATCAGTGTGTTCAATTCATATTTACTCGTATGTAATGAGTTTACGTGACCCCCCCCCCTCCAGCCACTAGGTTTTTCTACGTTCAACACGACTAAAAAAAAAAATGTATTCTTGAATCAAATCAGGATCCTGAATCTTGCGAATTCATCGTAAAATTCGAGTTTTTGCTCAGCATCAGCTTCAGCCTTACAAAGGAGACGAATTTAGAATTGTACTTACCCACAAGTTCAGTGTTTAATTATCAGGAAGAACATTGGTAATAACAATAATAAAAACACGTTTTACTGGCTTGATACAATCCACTGAAGGCTTCCCACACTGCGTAGATCATGGATATTGTTTGACCATACTGCGCCGTGATGGCTCGTATGGGTTGGTGAAGTGGACGAGAGGCCCGAGACCCGTTCAGATTATAATCACTCGCCCACCCATGTTCTCATGCAAGGGCCCAGCCCATTTATTTTCCTTGTTGGTACCAACTGACATGGCAACACTTCAATGAAGAGATGCCTTCATCCAATACATTTAAATCGCCAATTTGAAGTGAATTACGCAATAGCCTTATTCAAATCACATTATCTACTTGTATCACCCAGATAACAAAACATTAGCATGACAAAATATTTGCCACCTCGAACGAACAATTTTCTGTTCTGGCCATGGCCTCGTAGCCACGTTCGGGAATCGCGCTCGGGTCCTCTAGCTTTCATACGAGCCAATTTCCTGCAACAAAAAGCAAAAGTCAATTCGTCTCCCTGCTCAATTGACCTTTGAGCCGTGCTCATCTTCATCCGAGGTCCTTATCCGCCGTCCCCATTAATTCTGAATTTCTAGCGTACAAGCCGTTAATGAGATCTCGTGTTGTTGGGAGCCTCCTGAGGTCTAATGGGTGAGTCACAACACAGTCAGATCAGCGAGGCTACATTCCCGCTGCAGTGGAAATATTTGGTGTCAGGCTAAAAACCGGCCATTGGCATTCTGTGCGCTCGAGAGCCAATCAGTGGATGTGGCTGTCAGAACACAAGTGTAAGTTTACACGTATGTAGAACTTCTGTTGCACCGTATGTAGCCAACTGTGCTGATCGGACGTGCATCAGCTCTGAGCTGGAATCCAATACCGAATGAAGACTTGTATAATTTTCGCTAATAGGACGTGCCGCCGACGGCATTACAGATTTTTCGAAACGTGTATTTTATTTTAATGAAGTAAGGCTCACAGAGCTATGCAACTCTTTTCGGAAGCGACCTGGCTATCACAAATGATAGCTCAACGAAGTACTTTATCGTTTGGAAATGTATAGCAGCCAAACCCTCTAAACGCATTTTGAGTCTACGGGGAGAGAGACATGCAAACACCAAATATACAGGAGTCTGGGGCGGGATCGAACCCACGACCTCCTGTATACCAGGCGAGGTAGTTAACATCTCACCGCCGTTGCGCAAGCAGTGTGCGGACCTTAAGCGGTTCACCCTTGATCTTTCTGTGTCGTTGCCAAATAAAGCTCAACAAAGGGTGTTTTATGTTTTTTGTACTCAATGCTTACATTGTGCGACCGCAGAGAAACGGCACAACCGCTGACACCTGGAGGTACGCGCTGCAAAGTTTTAATTCCATGATATTGTCAGACAGAGGCTGCCCCGACCCTGGTCTTTGGAAGGAACGCTTCACCAGACTAGCAGATGAATCGGTGCATTGCATGCAGACATGTTCAGCTCGTACACATGGCTCAATTCTAGCCTGTGTGTAGTGTATTTTATTAAATTATTTTGCATTAATACACACAATGGACAGGAAGGAGCAGATCAAAGGGGCCGCATAATGCGCATGCATAATGTACGTTGACTCATTAACCCCCCTCCCCCCCCACTTTGCGCAAGAGCGCAGAAGCGTGGTCACCACATCTACACCTCTGTATAAGGAACGAAACAGGTGGACTTCTCCACAAATCTGGCTATCGCCTGATGAAGCTGGTTGTAATTACTGGCGAAACGTCGTACTCCGATTGTAAATGTTGTGGCTTGGCTCTCCAACACACCGGTGGGCTGTACTAGTATACTACACTACACACTACACTATACACTAGTGCTGTACTAGTGACGAATTGGCATGTTCTGTTTACGTAACAACCCTTAGTAGTTGGCTATAGTAATACAGCTATAGTAATAGAGCAAGTGCAGAATCACTGAACCGGAATTGATAGCTTGAAAGCATTTAGCGCGGGGCCCTTGAAAGTGCGGGGCCCGTAGCATGTGCTACTTTTGCTACTCGGATAATCCGGCACTGCATCTTCCGTCCTTTGGCTGCTATTCTTGTCGCCACTCTCATCCATCATCCCCTCTCACCGTGATTTGTCCTTCCCAAGCCCCCCACTTACTTTTCTCAGCATTCAGTATGATCTCAAATTTGCATTTGTTCCCAGATCCATGTGTTCCGTTGATTTAAGTACTGATACAATTAACGCTATGTATGTAGAAACATGATACAATGAATTAAATTACACCTTGGGGCTTAGGGTAGTGGCGCATTGGTTAGGACGCAGTTCTGTGAACCCGACGATTTGAATTTGATTCCCAACCATTGGCTAACATGAGTGGTGAGTGAAATTTGAACCGGTCCTGCCTGCCCACAGCTTCACCAACTCGCACTGACCACGCGTGGTGAACTAAAGTCAAACAACCCGCATGGGTTGACACGGCACCAGAAAGCGTTCATCCAGAAGTGCAATGAAAAATGGCTGTATACATTTTTTTACGTTATTTCAACACATATGTGTAAACTTATAGATTACTTAGTTTGAATAAAAAAGTATAACAAAGCATCATCCTATGCAATAGCTAGCAATGCACAACAGCGAGTAGTGAAAGAGAAAGTGGAAATGAAAGCGTGCACACACAACTCTACCGTGATATGGAAGAGTTTGTGGCTAAACCGTCCCACAAGGAATGATCTATTTGTTGTCGGAGGAAAGGCGGCCCGTTGAAGAAGGATCGTGTAGAGATTAAAATCGTCTCCGTATTTATTCCCGCTGTACCACCACCACCACTGGATTTGAGATTGTGAAGATTAAAAAAAACCACGCTTGTCAGCTGTGTCAACACGGTACCTAATTCCCGCCGTGTAGCCACAAGAGATTGTGTTTCGGTCACCGCCGCTGTTATTTGCGCCGATCCATTGCAGTGCCAGACCTTTTAGCTCGCGGTGATGAGGCTGAGTTTGAGTTGTCCACGCAAGACCACCTGAAACCATCACGCGATCCCTGCCGG